GCGGGCGCGGCCAAGGCCACCCTCTACTGCCGCGTCTTCCTGCTCGACGGGACCGAAGTGAGCGTGGACCTGCCGGTGAGTGACGGGCCGGGCCGGGACTGGCACCCGCGCCCCCGGCCCCTGCTTCTCTCCGGGGCGCTCGCCTTGCGCCTCTCTGGGATCCCCTCCCCCTTCTCCGCCAGCCCTGGGTAGCTGGTTCCCCTTCTCGCCGCCCGTCAGGGTTCCTCCGGGCCGCATCTTTGGCTCGCGCCCTCTGCTTGGGATGTTGCGCCTTCTCTGGCGCCCACCTGGTCCTCGGGCTCACCCCCTCCCCAGCGCACCCAGTCCCCGCCCCTCGGCTCAGTGGCGGGTGTTCCTAGTCCCTGTTGCCTTTCCGTCCCCCGAGTCCAGCGAGCGCCTTTCCAATGCTGGGTTATGGGGTAGAAAAATCTCAAAGCAAGGCAGTGCAGCCCGGGGACCCTACCCCCACCCCCGCGTGCAAACTCCACTTCAAGCCTGGGTGGGACAGGGAGAGAAGAGCCCCCGCATTTTGTCCTGCTAGCGCCCCAAGTGTGAGGGGGGCTTAGGAGACTGTTTCTGCTCATTGCGGATCCCCCAAACCTTGGGTGGTCCCCACTCCAGTCCCAGAGAATTCCCCTGATCAGAAGCCCCTCGGGGGTTGGAGCTACTTGGGAACTGAACTCACGGACCTGGCCCGCTTTGCTGGGCAGAGACCTCGGTGCAGCGCTGCGCTTCAGCTCGGGGGCCCCACGAGCCTGGCTCACCCCCTCCCCCCGCCCCATACAGCCGCACACCCCGGACTGTGTGCGTGGCTCGGCCGGACACCCTGGAGCGGCAGCTCTGCGGCCTTGGCCCCAGCCGCCCACAGGTGGTTGCACCTCGCCGGGCTCCGGCGGAGAGATAGGCCGGTGCTGCTGGCCTCTGCAGGGCGTCCAGCCTCCGAAGAGGCTTACTGGCCGAAGGGGCCAGCTCGGACCCCATCAAACCCACACATTAACGGGGCGCCTGCTGTACACCCTGCGCTGCGGCAGACGGTGCCTTTGGGAATCTCTGGGTGTGACCGAGCACAGCAGTAATTGAGCTTTAGATGAATGTTACAGATCGTCCCGAGGGTTTCAAGGGAAGAAATAACATCCCCAGACTCGCAGATGAACCATTTAGGCCTTTCCCGGTGTCAGGAATTCTTCGGATTTCAGGAGAGAGCTAGGAACATGTAAGGGTATTAAGTGGGAAAACCGGAGCCGGCTTGGCTTGGGATTTAATGTTTCCCTGTGTAGGTTTAATTCTGAGACAGTTTCGATTTATGGCGATTTTATTTTTGTGGGTCTTGGTTCTCTCCATAGACTGTCGTTTTGTTATGAAAATATTTTTTGGGCCTTTTTACTTATGGAAAAGGAGTCAACGTTCTGGGGCTTAGAGCTGTTGTCTTTAAAATAGCATTAAAACGTTACCGCTTCGGAAAAATGAGGCTCTCCGCCTTTTGTTCAGCGGAGAGAGGACGCTCTGGAGCCCAGGGCGAGAGGAGAGGGGTGCATGCTGCCTCCGGAGTGGGCAGCTTGGAATCCGAGAAGATGTGGCGTAGTTTGCGTCTGAGAAAGGAATGCCGTTCTCGGGAACTTTCAAACTGTTCCTTGCTGGTGGTTTTCTTGTCTGTTCCCCAGGGATAATTCGTTTATAAAATGTATCGCTGTTGTCAGGTTTGTTCGACAGGCTTAAGTGGTGTTTCTGAGGTGAAAAATGCAAACGGAATAAAGTACATGCTTGGTAAATCGACCCGGACAGGTACATAAACAGGTTGGGGAATGCTGAGTTATTACAGCCAGAGGAGCCCTGCTGAGCCCTGGGAAAGGGGACACAGGCGTCCTAAAAGGTTTCTTCCTTTGTAAAAGGCTCCAGAAGAATTCACCCACCCCAAATTTTCCTATGATGGCAGATTGCTTGATGCCTTTAAGAGATGAGTTAGTGAACCCCAAATTTTATTTAAATATATATATATATATATATATATATATATATATGTCTGTGTGCCCTGTCTAAATGCAAATAAAAAGCCAGTCTGGGTTTTGTCATGGGATCTCTCAGGGAGGAGAGATGAAGAGAAATTACCAGTACACACAGCTCATTGATTTAGAGATATACTAGATATTAGAACTGCAGTTGCATAATACTAGATATTAGAACTGCAGTTGCCTAGTCTCTTTCACTACTCTTCCCAGATCAGAGTGTGTGTTCCTGTAATTAATCCTCGCAGTTACAAAGTTTAGCACCAGGTGGCCAGCTCCCCTTTGAATTTGTAGCATTTGTGCTATTTCTCAGGCCCATTTCTTCACTGGAGTTTGTTTAAAAAAAAACCCTGTCTCTTTAGGCATATGGCGCCACTTGTTATTATAACTCTCTTCCGTGGTTTTGGATTTTTCGTGCTTCCTAGGTTCTGGCATTGCCGGGCTACTTGTCACACAATAGGATTTACCTTTGACCCTGATATCCCTAAGCTTCACTGTGTGCTTCTGATCACTTCCACAGATACCCAGGGATTGGCCCAGCTAATTTTGGCTCCTTTCTAATTAAAACCCTCTGGTGGTGTTAGCCTCAAGAATTCCTTTACTCAACAAACTAAAAGTGGTTATGTGTTGTCATAAACCTTTTTATTAGCCCTAGTCAGGACACTTGCGTTCTGAAATTACCCAGAACACAATAACGCCCTCAGTATGACAGATCTGTGGCACCTCAGTTCACTTCCGTCATCCTTTATTGGGTGTCTTTAATGCGTCAGGCTCTGTGCTCCGGTCACATGAATGAGACATGGCCTGGAGGCTCTTGGGAGACACAGGTATATATGTTTAAATTCTGAGTGACACAAGTGACATGACGGGCACAGCCAGATGGGGTGCGGGGGTAAGGGATAAGGGAATGGGACCTCCTGGAGGGTCTAACACTTGGAATGAAAGGATCTCAAATTTGGCCTTGCTTGGCAAAGCCACGGTCCAGTTGTCACATATGAAAAAGGAAGAAGCCATTGTAATTGTGTTCAGCGAGTCTTGGGGCCTTTTTGGTGGCAGGGTGAGCGCCTCTGCTCTCTGGGTGTCAGTCTTTGTTGTGGAGAGTCAGTGGTTTCTCAAGAAACCTTTGATAAAACATGAATAAAAAGATCTTTTTAAATACCCACTTACAGGGGCCAGGGGCTTAGCTCAGTGGCACAGCGCCTTCCTGGCAAGCATGAGGTCCTGAGTTTGAGTCCCAGTACCCCCCTCAAAAAAAAAAAAAACCCAAAACAAAACCCACTGATAGAACTTGGGATGTAGCTCAGAGTAGAGCTTTTGCCTAGCACGCTTAAGGCCCTGGCACTGCAAAAACATCTACCATCTGAAACATGGAGTGGAAAGTGGCCTCCTGTGCAGTCTATCTCTCAGGTGGGTCCTTGTCTCACCCTACCAGCCCAATTGCCACCCTGAGCCACTTTTATTCAAAAAACTTGGCCCTGTCTTGGAGCGCACCTCCCTCCGGTTAGCCCAGCTGCGCCCAGGCTTCAGGTGTGGTTTGATCCAAGCAGGGCGGGCCAGGGGACAGAGGCCTGCCCTAGCCGCCCTTCTCCTCTGAGTGCAGCCGAAGATCCCATTGGTGTCTTGGCAGCAGCAGCCACTGTTGACTCGTATTAGCTCTCTGTTGACTAAATCGCTGGCATCACTTGTGCTTGGGCGGCTGCTGCTCAGCCCCACCTCCCTTGCCTTCGTGTGCAGTCTTCCAACAAGCAGTTCTGTGCAAAAAGCTGTTAGGATGTGTGGCTGGCTGGTTAGCACTCCCACCGTGCCTTGCGGGTTCGGCTGCTTGTCCTTTGTAGTATTTGGCGCAGTTATTCTTGCTGTATCTGAAACTCGGCCTGGACTCATTGGGGTACTGTGCAAACATGAAGAATTCCAGTGTTATCTTACAGCCTGCCTGTGCTGCCTTGGGCAGCGTCAACTCTCTGAGTATTGATTCCCTGGTTTTTAAAATGGGAGGATTAAATGATGGAAAGGATATAAAAAGCGTTGGTAAACAGCAAGTTGCCATAGGACTGCTGGGAGGTTGTATTTTTTACAAACTTCTTGTTTTTCCTTTTTGGAAAGAATTGGGGAAAAAATTCTGGAAATGGCCACTAGAAAAACAAAAGTAAAACTGTGCTAGGCAAGCTAGTCATTACTTGGCTCTTTAGTGGAAATTGGAAGTTTGATATAGTATGAGAGATGCTTTTTAGAAGTTACACTTGAGGTGGGAAAAGAATCTCTGCACAAGTTCTTAGAACTGGATCCTCTGGTCCAGTAGAACATACACAGCACAACATAAAGGTCAGATGTATTATTTTTCAGTTGAAGGAGCCCTAGGTAATACATACTCCATCCGTTTTATATATATAGGAAACTGAGGCCTTTGGGTAGAAAGTAACTTCTCTTTAGTCACTAGGTAAAAGAGCTGGAATGGGTAGCTTTGGGAACCTTGATTGTTTAGTTTTTGAAGATGTAGAGCATAGGTCAGCCTTAGGGTGATAGTGTTAGCACCTCTAGTCCTAACACATGAAAGGGGTTAGGATGTGTGCCAGGCAGTTGGAATGATGGATTTTCCCAAACAGTGGGAAACAAGCAAAATGATTCTCAAACTTCCTTGTACGCAAAGTTCATCTGGAATTTTTTTTTTTTAATTTCGTGGGGTTGGGGTGGGGGTCTTGCTCTGTGGCCACAGCTGGACTCAAACTCCGAGGCTCAGTGATCTTCCTGCCTCAGCTTCTCAGTTACTTGGACTACAAGCAGTGCTGCTGCAGCTGGCTCGCTGGAATTATTTTCTTTCAATTAAAATTCCTAGAACCTTCCCCAAGAAGTTCTGATTCAGTGGTTTAGGAAGCTGGGCTTTTAATAATAAGGTACACCCACTGTAGGTGATACTGATAAAGAGCGTCCCTTCATACCCTCTAAACGCCCTGGCTCTGGATCTGCATATTTAGGGCAGCTGCCCCATGAATTAAAAATCCCTGTGGGCCTGGTGGGGAATTTTGGCCGTGTGAGTCAGGGGTTGACCTGTGCTTCAGGGAGCCTGTTTTTGCC